ATAATTTTTTATTTTAATAAATTGAAAAAGTATTTTGCTAATAATTTTAAACCTCTACCGTTTAGATACGCCCACCACAAGCCTTTTGGCCTGTAAATTATCACGAGCTTTATTGAAAATAACGGGCACATCGGTGTTGGGCACCCGATAGACACGGAATTGTTGTATCATTTGGACCAAAGCTAATTTTACCTCAAGTAATGCAAAGCGCATACCAATGCAATTACGGGGTCCGGAGCCGAACGGTAGGTATGTATAGGGTTTGATGTTATGACGATTTTCCGGTAAAAACCGTTCGGGTTTGAAGGCAAACGGGTCGGGAAAGTAGTCCGGGTCGTGATGTATGGCGTAAACCGGGATTTGGGTTAATATCCCTTTTTCAATTTTTAATTGAAACCCATCGCTACCAGCGGTCAGCACCACGTCCTCCATGGCCTCCCTCTCCAGTCTAACAAACGGCGTATAATGTCGTAGTGTTTCCGATATAACGGCGTCGAGGAGTGGGAGTCGGCAAAGGGTTTCGTAGTCTATGTCTGCCGTGTTTTCATTGAACGCCTCTTTGGTCTCCTTCACCAACCGGTCCTGAATATCGGGATTGAGTGCCAACTCATAGACACAATACGACAGAGTTGTGGCCGTCGTCTCAAACCCACCGACAAAAAAGAGGAAACATTGGGCGAGTATTTCATCTGTGGTTAACCTCTTCTCCGAGACATCACTCAACGCCTGTTTCTCAGCCTTCAGTTCGTCGACGCCTTCAATCAAGTGATGGGCTTCGGCCGCATCGCTGGCATCGGCGGCACCGGTAGTCGTGTCCACTCTCTCCACATCCATAAGCAGTTGCAGGAAATCGTTATATTTTTTGCCCGACTTTTTACGCTCAGCTATCAAACTCCGGATGACATCTATGAAGAACATTACGTCCGGAGTCCTGACATTCATAACCGATTTATAAACCCTAGAGTTAATCACAAAAGTGGGCAAAATTGTTGACAACAGTATTTTCCACGGGTTTTGGTTAAAGATTCCGTTGGCTGTTGTGATGAACCGATTGTTTGGATCGGAATAGGGGTTGGTTTTGGTGGCGAACGCTGTGCTGGCGATCACATCCATACTGTAGTAACCCATCAGTTGTCTTAACTCGACTTCCGTCCCACCGGTGGACACGTCTCTGTCGAGTGCGGCCAAGAAGTCACGGCAACACTCGTTGATGAGTGGATACATGTGTTTGAGTTTACCCGAAGTGAATATAGGGCTGGCTATGGCTCGGATCCGCTTCCAGTCGTCATCCCTGGCGCTGAACATTATATTTTTGAAGGGACCCCTCCTTCCCGGCACTGGCCGTCGGTTACGGAATTTGTAAAAGTCTTTCACCAGAATCTGTTTGATGAGCTCCGGGTCCGCCACCATTAGGGAAGGCTTTCCCTGCATTTGATATACACTATTCATTTGAAAAATAATTATTAAAAGCAATGTTTTAAAAAATATTTATAATTAAATTACCCAAAAAGTTTGCCATAAGTCTTATACCACTCCATATCGACCACTGGTCTTGGCTTTAAGAACGGACTTAAAGTATTGCCTAAATATGGTATGGGTTTCGGACCCGAGATATTACGGTCCGACCAGTAATTCAATATACGATACCATTTGCTATAATTACAATAAAAACAACATTGTATATGTTATTATATTTTTAAACATTAACTTTTAAACTTATTAAACATTATAATAGGGCGGTCAAGTGATTCCCGTCGTGCGGTAATGGACGCCATTTTTAAACTAAATGAAATAATTTAATTCTGTAAAATGGATATAAGAGCGTCATATACTGCGCATCTGCAGCTTATTTTATTATAAATATAGATCACGTGGTTTACTTGATAACATAAACATTCGGAATGGTCATATAACAGGTCAAACTATAATAAATATAGAGATGGACCCAATGTATAATTTGTAAAGGAATAACACAT